ATTGGCTGACAATGGAATCTGACTGTTGTAAATATGTGAAAAAGTGCCATAAATGCCAGATTTATGCTGACAAGATTCATGTGCCTCCAACTCCTCTCAATGTTATCTCTTCTCCATGGCCTTTTTCAATGTGGGGCATTGATATGATTGGAATGATTGAGCCTAAAGCGTCGAACGGACACCGTTTCATATTGGTGGCTATTGACTATTTTACCAAATGGGTTGAAGCGGCATCATATGCAAATGTGACTAAGCAAGTAGTGGTCCGGTTTATCAAGAATCAAATCATATGTCGGTATGGTGTTCCGAGCAAGATCATCACTGATAATGGGTCGAATTTAAATAACAAGATGATGAAGGAATTATGCGATGAGTTTAAGATTGAGCATCATAATTCTTCTCCTTATAGACCCAAGATGAATGGGGTTGTTGAAGCTGCTAATAAGAACATTAAGAAGATTATTCAAAAGATGGTTGTTACATACAAGGATTGGCATGATATGCTTCCTTTCGCTCTGCATGGGTATCGTACATCCGTTCGCACTTCAACAGGGGCAACCCCTTTTTCTCTTGTTTATGGCATGGAAGCAGTGCTCCCGATAGAGGTTGAAATCCCTTCCATGAGAGTTTTGATGGAAACTGAATTGGCTGAGGCTGAATGGTGTCAAAGTAGATACGACCAGTTGAATCTGATTGAAGAGAAAAGAATGACGGCTTTGTGTCATGGCCAATTATATCAACAAAGAATGAAGAAAGCATTTGATAAGAAGGTTCGACCCCGTGTGTTCAGAGAAGGTGACCTCGTGCTAAAAAAGATCTCGACTTTTACTACTGATTCTAGGGGCAAGTGGACTCCTAATTATGAAGGCCCATATGTTGTTAAGAGAGCCTTCTCTGGCGGCGCATTAATTCTTACAACTATGGATGGAGAAGAGTTCACTCGTCCTGTGAATGCCGATGCAGTCAAGAAATACTTCGCCTAAAAAATAAAAGAACAGCTCGCTAAGTTGAAAACCTGAAAGGGAGGCTTAGGCAAAAATGAGCGTCTCGGTGGATTGAAAACCCGAAAGGGCGGTCCAGGCAAAAATTAGAGACAAAACAGAAATAATTATCCCGGTAGATTGAAAACCCGAGAGGGCAATCTAGGCAAAAGTTAGGGATCATGGAAAGTAACTGCATCTGGCCAGTCTTGATCGTTTGAAGCAACATTTCCTATCAAAGGTTTCACTTCAGATATTCTCCGCTGAAGTCTCAAGCACAGTTGGATTTCAAAGTTGTTAGGGAGAATAATGGTCATTGTATTTCAATGTAGAACTTTCCATTGTACTTACCATTTTTCAAACTTTGTAATGATCCATGGAGTTACGCCATTTGCGGACTACCATTCTATCAATAGAATTTGGGCCTTTGTCCCTTTGTTTGTGATTCTTATTTTATTTATGTTTACAGAATTTCATTTTATTTTTGATGATGATTTTTGAAACAAATGTGAATAATTGATTTAAATTTTGAAAATTATAAAAACATTTTTCTTTGATTTGTGAAAATAAAAGAAAGAATGTCAACAGTAATCCCAAGAATGGTAGAATCTTGAAGCGAAAAGCGTAAGTGTTCTCTTCAGCAGGGTTCTTTCTTGCCTCTCTGGTAGAATTTATTGGCAGCTCCCCAGTAGAGTTGTGTTGATGTTTCCCCATTTGAGATATATTGAAGTCTCTTCAGTAGAGTTTTGATATCCCCGTAGCAAAGTTTTGTTTCTTTGGATAAACCAGACGAGTGTTGAACGGTTTTCCACAACAAAGTCTTGATTCAGATGATGGATATGTTTTATTCATTCAACCAGATTATGATCGGACAGTTGAGAAATTTGAAGATCACTTCTCCTTGATTGTTTTTGCCCAGGCGGAGATTTGTCTTTGATGATTCCTAGCGGAGGTTATGCACATTTGCTTTGGATTATTCCTCAAGTAGAGAACAATGTTGAGAAGTGTTGACATAGCAGTCACCTGTCGGGTTTTCTCTCACCTTGTGATTGGGTGTTGATTTAAAATCCCCCACAGTTTTGACTTTTTGCTATGATGTTAACTTCTTATTCCCCTGGCAGGGTTGGAAGATTTGTGTTGCTATGTTTTCTCCAGCAGTTTTTTCTCTCAAAGCGGAGTTCATATTGTTGTTCCCTTTTGTTGAATTATTGATGGTTGAAGATTTTCTGTTGCTGATCCCCAGCACGATCTCCAATGATATCTCTAACTCGCAGAGATTAGCCGAGTATTTCAGTGGTGTTGTGGTGTTTTGTTCACCCTCTGTTTGCCCTTTTTGTCTGATTTATCAGCATATTCATACTCATTGCATGCACATTCATTTTGGTTGAGCATAGCATGTCTTTGTTGCATTGTGCATCCTGCATTTTTTGTTGGTATTTCCCTTTTCCCGATGTTGTTATCTCGCAGAATACGTGTGTCCTCTCTTCGTTAGAGTGTCGACCCCTAAGCAGAAAATACCTATCATTTTTAATTCCCCACTAAGTTTATGCCTCGTGGAAGATGTTTTGTTTAGCTTTCCTCCCCAGTTTTTATCTGGATGGAATTGTTCCCCAGTTGAGTTATTTCCTCATTGGGTCGAGTCTTGTTTGACTGTTTCTTTCCAGTTTGTTCCTGGATTGAACTTTGGTCTCTTGCAGCAGTTACTTTAGTTTTCCCTGGGCTGTGGAACCGGGATGACAAGAAGGTATTTTTGAGGATTTATTTTCCTCAGCAGGAATCTGTTATTGATCCCCAATAGAAGATGAAGATTCGATTTTCCCAGTAGTGTTTTGATAACACTCTCTTGGTAATTACTTATGCAACTTCATGTGGAAGCCTCTTTATTTGAGCAGCTTGTGTAATCTCCAGAAATTTACCTTCGCAATAAATAACATTTCTCTGGCTCATCCTCAACAGAGAAATTTATTGTGAAGTGATGGATCTTTATCTGACTAGCTTTTCTGTCAATTGGAATTTCTGTGGAAAAACTCCCGATGAGAATTCTATTGCATGGTTCAACCTGCTCGTATCTCTTTTAAAGATCCCCGACAGAGTTGTTAATATCTTTTTCCAACAAATGGTTGTCTCTTTATCTGAGAAGTTTGTTGTGTGTTTGGAGCTGCTCAGTAACAAGTAGCTGATGATATATCTCTTTCTCCTACCCAGTGACAGGTAGTCGAGTATGTTTGTCCTACCCAGTGTCAGGTAGTTGACCTTTTATCTTTTTCTCCTACCCAGTAACAGGTAGTCGAGTCCGTCCTACCCAGTAACAGGTAGTTGACATGTTGTTTACCCTATCCAGTAACCGATAGTTGGTAACCCCTTTAATTCAAGTTTATTATTCTCGCTAAACTACTCAGTAACCAGTAGTTGGCGTTGCTTCTTTTCCTACCCAGTAACAGGTAGTTGATTATATCTCAACGAGTGGATTATTTTTTATCCAGTAACTGGTAATAAGTAATACATTTCTTTGTTTTCTACCCAGTAACTGGTAGATAACAATTCTCTTGTGTTTTTGCACTTATTTTCTACTCAGTAACCAGTAGAAAGTATTTTACCTATTATTTTCGGTTCGAATATCTTCGCCCAGTAACTGGCAGTTGGTATCTCTTTCCCCATTGAGTCGTTTCCTTTCCCTTATCGGAATAGGATCTTGCTCTTTTGTTTTCTCATGTGGAGTCTCTCTTTTTCTCCCGAGCTTTTGTTTGTCTCCTGTGGCATTATTTCCCCACAGAAGTCTTATGTTCGCATATCATTAGCATAATCATATCATTTTGTGGTCTCTTATGGCTAAAAATTGGGTTAATTGTTATATTTAAGTCTCTTCTATCTAGTCGAGACAAAGATGTCAATCTTCATATCTCCGGATAGAAGAATCTTAAATAGGGGCAGCTGTAATACCCTAATTTTTACCCCTAAGATCCCACATTTCATCGGCATATCATTCCACAAACAAGGTCATATTTTTAGCTTTCGCACCCTTATGGGTTTCTTACTTTCTTTATGTTTGTTTCTGTTTACTAACATTTAATCAAAATACCAAAAATATTTTTTGTTTCTTCTTCTCTGTGTGTTTAGGGTTTTGCAAGGAGATTAATGGCAAAGAAATTCATTCAAGTTTAAATCAGATGGACGTTTGAACTCATCTTGGTCAAACTATCAAGAGTTTGCTTCAACCATAAGTTACCCGTGGTGGTGGGCTATTTTCTCAGGAAATGTGATTTTTCAAGATCAAATTGTCTTGTGTTGAAATTCATTGATTTATCAAGCAATGTTCTATGAGAAGTTTGATCCAGTTTTAATCAGAGATTCAGAGCATTTTAATAAGGATTTAAGTTGATGGTTGATGCTTTGATACAAGTTATTCAGTGGTTCGTATTTGAATCTATCAGGGTAAAGTAAGAATTTAGTTTAGATGATTATTGCTTCAGGTACAAGTAATTCCTTGGTCCATGAATAGTTGTATTCATTTTATCAGAGATGTGTAAAAAAAAAGCAATGAAGGTAGGTTTTGAATAAAAATTGAGAATTCATGCTACGAAACCTTGACCAAAAGCTTTGCTCTAGCCAATACAAACTCACAAGTTCATTCGGAAATCTATGTTACCCAACCTCCTGGAGACTACCCTGTTAATCTAAGAGAAGACATTGTTAAGGAGTTTGTCAGGATCTGTTCATCACGCAAGCTTGTTGAGTGTATCAATACATATTTGTTAAAAGATGGTCCAAATTTGGGCTTTCAGTTGTTAGAGATTCATAGTGCTATGCAACAGTTTCTGTTTCACTGTCGGCTGATAACACATGATCGCGTGCTTAAGGATTCACTGATGTTTTATGCAAGGACACAATTAAATTCAATGAGAGGGGCTGCTGATAGGTATTTATTGGTAGAACAACTTTTGGATCAGGGTAGCATGTCTAGTATTTCAATACCGCGGGGAGAAGGAAATTTGAAAAAAAGCAGAAGAGCGGGCGAGTGAAATGAGCTCGAAAGAAAGCTGCAGAAGCGAACTTCGCATCGCAATTCGACAACTCAGCGATCGCTGTCTCTATTCCGCTACCAAATGGGCTTCGGAACAATTGGTAGGGATCGAGCAAGATCCATCCAAGTTCACTCCTTCCTATACCAGGTTTCAGCGTGGAAGCTCAAGTATTCGCCGCAAGTTCAGAACTCATGAGGTCACCGCTACGCCCCCTGCCGGTGTTTCCTATGTTGTTACGCCTGTTATGGAAGAGGATGCGCTTGTTGACACTGATTTTTACCTTTTGGCTAAATCTTACTTCGATTGCCGTGAGTATAAGAGAGCTGCTCATGTTCTTCGGGATCAAATTGGACGCAAATCCCTTTTCTTGCGATGCTATGCTCTCTATCTGGCGGGAGAAAAGCGAAAAGAGGAAGAGATGATAGAACTAGAGGGACCTCTGGGTAAGAGTAATGCCGGGAATCAGGAATTAGTTTCTTTAGAGAAGGAGTTATCTACACTTCGCAAGAATGGCACAATTGATCCCTTTTGTTTATACTTATATGGTATTATACTGAAACAGAAAGGCAATGAAAATTTGGCACGGACAGTTCTTGTGGAATCTGTAAATAGCTACCCTTGGAACTGGAATGCCTAGACTGAGCTTCAATCCTTATGCAATTCAGTTGATACCTTGAACAGTCTTACTCTTAGTAGTCATTGGATGAAGGAATTTTTTCTTGCCGGTGTATACCAAGAGTTAAGGATGCATAGTGAGTCTATGTTAAAATATGAATACCTACTTGGAACTTTTAGTTTTAGTAATTACATCCAAGCCCAAATTGCTAAAGTCCAGTACAGTTTGAAAGAATTTGATCAAGTTGAAGCTATATTTGAAGAACTGCAGAGGAATGATCCTTACAGAGTGGAAGACATGGATATGTACTCCATTGTGCTATATTCTAAGGAATGCTTTTCTGCTTTGAGTTACCTTGCCCATAGAGTATTCCTGACTGATAAATATAGACCTGAATCTTGTTGTATTATTGGAAATTATTACAGTTTAAAGGGGCAACATGAAAAAGCAGTTGTATATTTTAAGAGAGCCCTTAAACTGAACAAAAATTATCTCTCTGCTTGGACACTTATGGGTCATGAATTTGTAGAGATGAAAAATACTCCTGCTGCTGTGGATGCCTATCGTCGGGCTGTTGATGGATTTGTCAATCAACATCGGATCCCGAATAATTCTGGCACAATGTCGGATGAGCAATCTCTAGGGAAGGAAGAACCTGAGCTGATTAAAAATCTCCGTGCGGCAATGATCTCTCTTCAGAACCTTCTGACTAGCAATCCAAACTTAGCATCCATATTTTCTAATAAAAACAAGTTGCTACCTCTTTTTGAATGTTTTTCGGTGGCCGAAGCATCAGACAGTAACATTCTTCAACTTTGCCTTGCAGTGTTGTCACTCTTGACAGCACATGCTCCCTGCTTGCAAGCCATGGTTGCAGATGGATCTAGTCTTCTGCTTTTATTGCAAATGCTTCACTCAGCTCCCAGTTGTCGTGAAGGGTCTCTCCATGTTCTCTATGCATTGGCAACCACACTAGAACTGGCCTGGGCAGCTGCTAAGCACGGCGGGGTTTCTTTACATTCTTGAATTGCTATTGCCTTTGACAGAAGAAATACCACTCCAACGAAGAAGCTTTGCAGCCTGGATTCAACGATCAGCTTTGGGCTCACTTTAACCGTCTTTGTACACGGTATGCGGCAGAAGATGTTCTTATCCACAAGAGGTTACTTCATTTAGCACACGATCCAGCATCTTGCCCGCGAGTTTATGGTAAAAACAAGGCGCAGGAAGGGAATGAGTGAAGATGTAAGTATAGGCAAGTTCTTTGATGAGGCTATGATGGTGGAACTTGCACAACAAGCAAATTATGAGTTATTTGCTTCCGAAGTTGACATGTATTTGACAGAGTTATTTACCATACTACTGTGGCAACATCTTTGTCTCAACAGAACGAACACATTGAATGCGTAGAGAACATTTGTCATTCGTTTTTGAGCATTCATGATAAGGCAGTTGTTAGTTCATCTTTGTTAGAAATGAACTCAATAGCAGCAAGACTCGCCAAGCATCTGCGACTCTCTTCTTACGATGCTGTGCCGAGAAGCGCGACGATGTGGTACTCAAATTTGATATCTGAAACTGATGTTGATCATCAGCCTTCAGCAAACAAGGAAGAATTAGATGATGAGTTTTGATGATTTTCTTGGTGGTAAACCTGAGTTACAGCTGCAGATGTGGAAAAAGCAAGCCAAGATATGCTGACCCCACAAACCTTCCACGTCACCCAAGTGAGCTGCAAAAGAAAAAGTCCAAAACGACATGAAAAAGTTTCAGTAAAAACTCACGCGTAAATACCCAAGAACCAAAACGCAGAAAAATCACACAAAACGGAAAATCATTTTTTCTCACTCTCAATCTATAAATAGGGTGCATACCTCTTCATTTTTCTCAAGCTTGAAAAGCCAGAAAACTTATGCAGAAATATGATCCCAATCTTCAATCACCTTCAAGCTTCATTCAATTAAACTTCATAATCCATAATCCTTGAAAATTCATCAACATTATCCTTCATTTTTTTCTTTAACCATCACCATCAAAACCGGATTTCACCTTCGCATCTCACAAATCGTGGCAACTCTTCATCAACATCAACAAACAACAACTCGAGCACAATTTGCAAAGAAGAAGAAACAGAGAGTGTAAGAATTGATTATTCGAACCTGATTTCTTGTTCATCATCAACTTCGATCCAATTTCGTGGTTGAGTTATTTTACTGTAAACGTTGTTTACAAAAATGAGAGTGAGAGAGGGAGTATTTGTAAACGGTGAAAGATTGATAGAAGAAGATGGAAACTGTTTTTTTCTTGCGAGATCTACCGAGAGATGATGCACAGTGCCGCGAGAAGATATTGTTTTCTGAATTTCTATTTCTCTGTTGTCCTTTTCACTTATTTTTTTTCAATTATATTTTTCTTCTTTTTTTAATTTTTGATTTTTTTTTCTCTTAAAATCTTGAGCCGTGTGGCTTGTTACCATAATCATCACCATGTTTTGTTTAATAAACCTTTTTTTTTTCTTTCTTTAATTTTTCATTCAAATTTTCTTTTCCTCTAATATTTTTTTTATATAAATAATTTCTTAAAATAGATTTAGATCTTGAATTTTGATAAGATCTCATCAATATCAATGGACTTTGGGTGTCGATTTTATCCACCAAGAGAGGTGATTGATATTGATGATGATTTAATCGATTTAAAGATTCAAATTATGGTTTCTTTTCATTTTAGTTCTCTTTCTTCTTCTTTTTATTTTTGATCGATGAAATCTATGGATCATAGATTGTTGATTATTAAGGTTGTTTAATCTTCATTATTTCAAATCTATGGATGAATAATCATTGAGATAATTCTCCGTACTTTGGAATAGTGATAGATTACCTTTGATAATTGATGAAAAATCTTGATTATGATGAGATCACTACCTCTTTTCTTTTTGTGTGGCATGTTTTAGGAGAGTGATTTACATATCACTTCTCTAACATGTATTAACACTAACATTTTATTGACCGGCCTCAGATAGTCGTGGTTTCTACATAAACCCGATTACGATTGCTTAACATAGCGCTAAAGTGTCCCTTAATCGGAAAATGATCATTCGTGGCTCAAACTTACGTTTAAAAGTCCAAGTATGTTTAGTTGCTTGTCTTAAGTCCAATACCTATGAAAATCATTGTTAGGAGGCTTTGATTCTATCAATCCTCTAATGAGTTTTCATTAACCTTGGTCTAAAGTGCAAGAATTAATCATCATTGATCATATGTTCTAACCACTAACCACTAATTCACTAACAATATCCTTGTTTAATTTTGTTTATATTCTCTTCTTACTCCTTATTTCTTACTTTTATGTTTCCATATTATCATTTCATATCATATCTTTGTTTATGTTTATGTCATTTTCTCTTTGTCCACTTGGACCATACTTTGTTCAAAACACTAATAAAGGATAAAACATCTAAAAATTTAGTGTTATTAACTTTGTGGTTATGCTCTTGGACTACTCTTAGACCTTGGACTTTATGGACCTTTGGACTTAGAATTAGGGCTCTCATTCCTATGCTTGGAGTATTGTGGATCTTAGCCTTTATTTGGCTCGCTCATTAGCTTATGCTTTAAATCGGATGGAATTCTTTTTCGCTTGCTATGGAGTGTGCTACAAGTCGGTTAGATCTTTCTTACCTCTAGCTCTTATTTTGGTTTTTAGGATAGTCACTTCATCTCCTCCCCTTCTTAAATTTTCAAAAATTTCTCCCTCTTTCAAAACCTTCTTGGTTTCAAACTTCAAAACCGCTTTCGCAATAAAACCTTGACTTTCGTCAAGTGATTTTTAAACTTTGTTTTTCTTAATAAAAGTCAATCAATGTTAATCATGCTTTGACCAATTTCAAAAGACATAAAAAATACAAAAACTCATCAACTCTTTTTGTGCCTTTATGCACTTTTTCACTTTAAAACTTTTCATAAAGTTTAGACGTGATTCATTTCTATAGTTGAGATGTAAATCTCCTATTCCCCATATTATTAAGACTTTGACATTTTCCACGTTGATGTTGAGTGATAGTCTTGTTGATAATCCAAGCAAATCCTCCATCTTTATGTGACGCAAATGTTGTCTTAATACTCGTGGGTGGATAGTCGCAGTTTTCTCCTTGAAATGACGACTTGTCTTTACATCTAAAATCAATCAAAACCAACAAATTTTTGTCATTTGTACCACGAACTACGGGGTTTTGATTCCATATTACACTTTATGGGTACGTAGGCATGAGACGATAAGTCTCTCCAAACACAAAAATATAAAAAAATAATTCTCTTCTCATCTCCCCAATCTCTTTTCAAACAAACCATTTTCAAACCAAAAAGCGTAAATATTTCAAAGGGCTCCTATAGAGTACTATAGACGTTTTGGGTGCTAACACCTTCCCATTGCGTAACCAACCCCCTTACCCTGATCTCTGTCTCGTGTTCTTATTTTAGAACTCTTTGGTTTTGCTCGCTCTTTTTCCTTTCCTTTATTTGGATAAAATAAAAGTGCGGTGGCGACTCTTGTTTTTTTGAGTTAAGTTAATTAATAACTTACGCTCATGATTTTTACCGCTACACATAGGCATGAGGCGACAAGTCTCTCCAAACATAAAAATATTAAAAAATACTTCCTTTCTCATCTCCCCAATCTCATTTCAAACAAACTTTTTCAAACCAAAAAACGTAGTTATTTCAAAGGGCTCCTATAGAGTATTATAGACGTTTTGGGTGCTAACACCTTCCCTTAGCGTAACCAACCCCCTTACCCAATCTCTGTTATTTTTTCTTGTTTTAGAACTTGTTTAGGTTTTGTTTGCTCTTTTTCCTTTCCTTCTTAGATAAAATAAAAGTGCGATGATGACTTTTTCTTTATGAGTTAAGTTAATTAATAGTTTACGCTCACAATCTTTGCCGCTACAAAAAAGTGGCGACTCTGTTGGGGACTCTGGTTCTTAGTGGGTTCAGCCTACCTTGATTTATTTATTGCCTTTTGTATGA